TACATGGTAAACGCAGGTTGGCTAGATTAGGAATGGATTATCTCTAGCTGCGGCACGCTTGTTCCTAAATTAATCTGACAGTGACGCTCTGGTGGATGAAGCGTTTTTACAACATTTATCCCATGAAATCTCCCGCAAGAGACTTCCGTCTCACCCTGGCCCGCTTCCGTAAGAGACTGCCGTCTCACCCTGGCCCGCTTCCGCAAGAGACTGCCGCCTTACCCTAGCCCGCTTCCGCAAGAGACTGCCGCCTTACCCTGGCCCGCTTCCGCAAGAGACTGCCGCCTTACCCTAGCCCGCTTCCGCAAGAGACTGCCGTCTCACTCTGGCCCGCTTCCGCAAGAGACTGCCGCCTTACCCTAGCCCACTTCCACAAGAGAATGCTATGATGCTATAGCGTGATCCCACAAGAGACCATGTAACCATAGCAAAAAAAAACACCACATTATAAGAGTAGGGCCGCAGTCTGCCTTGCACAGAAGGGGTGAGAGGAGGTGTACATCGCGTTATACATTTATTTGCAGGCAAAGCATTGTAGGTTTTTTTTTTTGTTAGAATCGCTCCTTAAACTTTGCCCCCTTATTATACACATGGAGGATTTCTGCACGTCGTGGAGATAATTCCACGAACAGATTGTCACATCCGTCTTTTCTGCCCGGTTACCTCCGTCCTTTCCGCTCTACACTCGGCAAGCACAATTTTTGACGGCTGTCACTATTGATACTCGCACATGTCCGTTACCAACGACGCGACCAGGAAGATTCCCTGTAGCCGGCTTCTTGGAAGGAACCCCCCCAATACAGAGAGAGAGCACCAATGGATGTTTGTATTTAATAGTCCAGTACGGCTCCAACAAGCCGACACCATCGCTTAATGATCAGACTTCAGTATGGTCCAATAGGATTGGTCGGATTTTACACACACATTGCTCTTTGCATTGCTACATTGTATCACATCATTTGATTGAGTTGTATTACATTTAAAAAGCAGAACTACGGGGTTAAGGCTTTTCCCCATAGTTCTCCTTAGGGTAACGGGAGGACACAAACTAGCGTCCTCCCGTCACCCTAGGCTCAGTATACTGCGAGCTGTAGCTCGCGGTATACTGAGACGCCGCAGCGGATCCCGATAATTGTGTCTGGATCCGCCCAGCTGCGTGACTGACAGCTGGCTCTGCCTATCTAGAGGCAGAGCCAGCTGTACCCTCCCCCGTCCGTTCCGCCAGTCAGCGCTGGCGGATCGGAGCGGGGGGAATCCAGCCCCTCCCCTGTCACGGCAGAGAGCCGTGACAGGATCGAGAGGTGAGCGAACGCCGGTATGTGTTCCCTCACCTTCCGATCTACTGAGCTGACCTGTGACAGTCTCATTGTCACAGGTCGGCTAGAACTATAAGGTGAGTGAAAAGCACTCGCCTCATAGTTCTCCTTTAAAGAACGACTTTAGTTTTGGGTGGAATGTGAACGGGTTAGAATCCTTCAGGTTATAAATTGCTTTGGTCACCTTGAAGACAGTAGGCACTGGATCCAAACCGAACAAAGTCGGAATCGACAAGCTTTTCGTGAAAAAAATAAAACAACACACACAAAATGCTTTTAGAGCCCCCCACACATGAAGATGAGGACTGCTCCCCATGTTGGGTATTACCACACATGCCGGAGTGAGAGAAGGTTTTAAAGGAGAACTATGGGGTCAGGGCTTTTCCCCCCCATAGTTCTCCTAATGGGTCACGGGAGGACACAAACTAGCGTCCTCCTGTCACCCAAAGCTCAGTATATAGAGCGCCAACAGTGTGCGCAGCGCTTTACAATATAAGGAAGAGATTACAGTCACAATACAATTTAAGACAAGATGGTAAGGAGGGCCCTGCCCCTGAGGGCTTCCTGTATACCGAGACCGCCGCAGCCGGGATGGATCCCAACAGTACTGTCGAGATTTATTTATATTACAGGTATTTACTGTATAGAGCGCCGGCAATTTACGCAGCACTTTACATAGTTGCACATTCACATCAGTCCCTACCCTCAAGGAGCTCACAGTCTAAGGTCCCTATCTCACATGCATACATAGAGGGCCAACTTAGAGAGGAGCCAATTAACCTCACAGCATGTCTTTGGGGTTTAGGAGGAAACCGGAGTACCTGGGAGGAAACCCACGCAAGCACAGGGAAAAACGTGCAAACTCCTTGCAGACTGGGATTCAAACCAGGGACCCCCAGTGCTGCAAGGCAGAAGTGCTAACCACTACGCCACTGTGCTGCCCGAGATCCACCCAGCTGTACCCCCCGTCCTTCCGTTCCACCAGTCAGCGCTGGGGGGGGGAGAGAGAAATCCCTGCTGGGAGTGGCGAGTGACAGTCACGGCTCTCTGCAAGGACAGGATTGAGAAGTGATCGAGCGCCGGTATGTGTTCTCTCACTCCCCGATCTACAGAGCCGACCTGTGAGCGTCTCATTGTCACACGTCGGCTCGAACCATGGGGACGAGTCTCCTCATAGGTCGCGTCTGTTGACAATTTCGGGTACAATTGTAATGTGTCCATTTTCTCCCCGTTTGTTTTTCACGCCAGCTTGTTGTCCCTCTGATCCCGAGTCCTCCAAGAACCTGCGTTCCTTCTCACACAGCCCGTTAGTCCAGGAGGACAGAAATAGAACTTTTTTTTTTTAATTGGCTGTCACTTTGCGTTTGGCAGCGATCCCGCGACGCGCACTGCGGCGAATATTAGAACCCTTTCAAATAAATGCCGGATTTTAATGGCGTTGAAGGTTAGCAGAGAATTACAGCTTTGCGGCATTGTAATAAACGGAGCTGCGCGCGCTCTCCTGAACGTGAAATAACATACGATGTGAGCGAGAACAGACGGAAAATTGAGCTGACGAGGTCATCAATACTGTGACTTTTATTTGAATGCGGCCTTGTGTAACGGAACATTAAAGAGTTCCTCCCACGGGACCAGCGCTGACTCGCCGCTGCTCTCCCGCGCCGAAGGTAAGTGAAGGACACACTTGTCCGTGCTCCTGCTGTCTCCAGGAGAATTCTACGGAGGTGGTCAGCGATTCTGCCAGTTCATAATTCCCGGCTGATACACCTGCGTGTAGATTGCTTCAACCCAGGACTGTGCTTATGAGGGTTGCATCAAAGAAAGTCTTTTTCTATGTCATCTGAGTACTCATGTGTACAGACCCCAGTTCTCCTGCAGGAAAGAGTTAGGAGCAAGCACTTCTAGAAGGATGTGATGGAACAATTTCTACCTCTTCAGCAGGCGGCAGGCCCTCTCTTTACTCCATTCATCTTTAAGAGTTAAGACAGCTAAGCATCTTCAGCATCCAACTTACCATAGGGGTTGAGCAGATACCTGTCCTGCCATCATGACATTACATAACACGGTAGTTTTGGGGGTTAAGTCTGCGGTGCGTGCATCAAAATCGACTTCCCCTGTGAACAAAAAGTGAATCGCGAAATCACAACCCACAAAAAGAAATACACAAGGGTGCTGTGGTCCTCCTCGGAAGAGGAAGGGCCTCAAAATTCTTGAACCCCCTAGGGCATGAGGCTGCTGACAGAGGCAAGGACGACTCAGGTACCCGAAGGCTGGCAGACCCTGATCCTCAGGGTTCTACCAAAGTAGGAACCACGAGTACTGGGTGGGGGCTCTCCCAGAGAGAGACCCCCCCAAGTTGGGGGGAAGGCAGAAAAGCCTGTGAAGGCCACAGGAATCTCCCCCTGAACATCAGAACGGGCCCTGAAGGCACCTGCACCCGCCGTCATCTGTGGAGTCAAAAGTGCCGCCGTGCATGAAAATAGTGCTTTTAATAAGTGCCAGTGCACAAACAGTAGTGATGTAGGAGAAGCCATAATGTGCAGGGGGGG